ACAGACAAGGAAATGTCAGCGGTCGCGCAAAGTGTAGACACGTTAGTGACGCAAAAAGCTGGTAGGCCCGGGTAGGGCGCAATCGGCCCACTGCTGGACATAGTATATAACTGGTCGCAAGAGGTGGCCGATATGGGAGTGTTCCGTGCTGCTGCAATCTGATGCTCTAGACCCCCGGAGGGTCGCGGTGAGCGGCTCCGCGACCGGCTTGTGGAGCCTGGGGCCGATGCCGGCTCCGGTACGTCGCTCCCTGTCAAAATGTCAAGGTGGCCCGGTCCCGGCTCTGCCCCGGGAGGCTCGTCGCCCGGGGGATCGACGGCCTCATCCTCTGATGCGGAGCTGGTGGGAACATAGGAGGCAACATAGACATCGCCTGGCCTGAGGTGAAGCGCGTGTTGGCGGAGATCAATGTTGTCCAAGTGTAAACTAAAACCTTCTGGCATGAAAACCGAAAGCAGGTCTACTACCTCCTGATAATCGCAAGTGCCATCAAAGGTTGCCAGCTGGTGCCATCCTTGGAGGATAGGGCGGCAGTCGATAACGGCTAGCATATGGCCTGGTCGAGGGCGCCCTGGAGGAATGAGGACATTTGGCATGTCTCCAGTCACAGCGGCAACGCCCTTGCAGTGGTAGCCGTTCAGGCTCATGTCCGTAACTCGCGGCCTGGTGGCCTGAGCTCTAGTCATGTGGCTTTGAAATCCATACTGAGCTGCAAGATGCTCCAAATGTTCACCAGGAGGATTGTTGATCACATGCAACCGGTGGCCTTGCTCAAGAACAACGCACAGGTACGGACTGCGTAATCCCCCCGGACCCCTAGGCACGAATGCAGGAGACTCCCAAGTCTCTGGGTCAAGAAGCATGTGCACAAGTGATCCTCTAGCCGACGGCCGCTGCCCTGTGGGAAGGATGACTACGGTCCCACCTGGCGTGCACTCCATTTCTTCCCCGTGCATCAAGGGATGATCCGCCCCGTGCGGGAACACAAGGAGTGTGCCATCATCTGGAGCGCCGGCTGATCGCAAGATGTGTGCAGCCGTTGCCACTCTGGGGATCGGGGCGGACAACCTGAAAACCTCTGCCTACCTGCCTGGCGTCACAGAGGATTGGAAAAGTTCCAGCTCTACGAGAGTCTGCGGGAGAGGCTGCACTGGGATCAGGGGCGTGTTGTGCAAAGACAACTGCATTACAGACCTCTCCTTGGAATGCCACGCCTGGCAGCTGGTCGGAGACATAAAGCCGAAGGCTGTCTGCTGGAGTTCGCAACACTGTGCTCAAGGCCTGATGCATGCTCATCCCCGGGAAGAATCTGGCATGGAAGTAGAAGCATTCCTCTTGCCAGAAAACAAGCTGCCCTGGTGTGCCGGCACATGTAGGCATGTGGTGCGGGGGGTGCCAGGCACGCGGAAACACAAAGAGATCCTGAAAGCGATGGCCTTTCAAAGGCTGCACCCCCTCCCACATCACAGTGAGGACATCTCCATGCGCAGGCTCAAGCAGAGCAGTCGTAGCCGCGGCTGTTTCTGCAAAGGGCAACCACAGACGAAGCTCCCTGTCATCAACGCTCGTTTGCTTATAGATGCTATGCAGGAAGTCAGACACATGCTGGCCGGAAGGGAGTGAGGCGGCATAGTAATGACCGCCGACATGCGACAAATCCACAATGACGGAACGTTGCTGGAGACGATCGTCCTCGGCAGTGTGCTGCACGAACGCCGCAAAGCCTGGGTGTCGCTGAGGAGACACCGGAGACATGTAGTGATAGCCGGGAGCGGCACCCTGTTCACGTCGGAGCACCTGTGAAGTGACCGTTGCTTCGGAGGTATCAGGGTCGCAGAGCAGGGCAAAGTATTTGGGCTGCCTGTGTGGGGCAAAGACTGTAACCCCTAACCAACTACCCGATTCTCCCTGTGAAAGGGGCTGGCTAGAGGGCAGGGCGGCATATCTGCTAGCTTGAGGAGGAGCAGGCTCAAAGCGCCGCTGTCCAGGCTCTACCTCTGGAGGAAGAGGCTCAGGTGAAAGCTGCAGAGAATTCTCAACAGTCGAAATGGCCGCCGATAGGCCATCAGGCGCTGCCCAAACACACACAGGAATAGTGCAAAGGAGGAACATTTGCAGCCATCTCCAGCAGAGTGCCCTTTGGCTCCGCAGGGGACCTGCACGGGTAGGACGTGGTCTCCTGTCACCTGTGGACCATGTGAGGGGCTGAGGTGAATGCACAGAAGTACCTGTTAAGCAGAGGACGATGCTACACGTAGAGGGCTGCAGCGGGATCTGTATGGCACGGCCAAACAGCGTACGGCGCCCTAAGAACTGTCCTAGAAGCAAACGTCCTAGAACCAAACTCAGCAACCCACTCAGAGTTCGGAAGAAAGCACATGCTGCGCAAGCCAAGTGAATGGCGACCTTGGCAGGAAGCCCCTGCTCTTCGTCAAGGGCCAGACTGGGAGCAACACTTTTGGCAGCCCACTTGTCTGCCTGCGCGCAGGGATTGTACACAAAAGAAATGATGCACGAAGGAGGTCGACTGCATGGCTGCTTATGAAAGGGAGCACTGGTTGCTCCACACGCGGGTGTGTAGCCGGTAGGTGGCCATGGCGGGGGCTCTCGAACGGAGATACCAAAAAGGCATCTCGCCGTAGAGCCAGAGGAAGACGAAGTTCCCCTGCAGCTTCCCTCAAGAACCCAATGAGAGATAGCCGCATGGGAACAAGCAACAGGTTCATGGTCTGGGTCTGGAGTCCTTAAACAGCCTACCTGCCAGTTGTGAAACCGCGAGGATCCACAGTGTCTAAACCAGACGTGCCCATACTGATTGCATTGGCCGGGGTGAGCTCGTGCCCGAGCAGCAGTCAGGACTACCCCAGTCTCTGAATCCTGCCACGGTACTGGTCTCCTCAGCCTGCACAGAAGTACGGCTCGTCTGGAAAGACTCTGCGACCCTCGCCTACGATCAACAACTGAGGTCACTCCAACTTCGTCAAGCCAGGCGAGGCCGACATGTGTTGAGCATCGGGATCGTCGTCCTGTACGATCGTGGTCTTGGAAACCTGTGCATTTCCGCCCTGTGGATGCGAGCGGGCGGCCATCACCTCTGCATAAGCTGCCATGGCTGCAGCTTGGCTGACATGTCCCCCTCTGAAAGGCTGCAACGCGGGACCCAAGGGGTCCGTGGCTCGCTTGTGTTCCAGCTTGTCTTGGAGGGTCGTGGAAGGAATCGGCGTTCTGACCGGTGTCTGGTGGGGGAGGGCCTTGACCCCTTCCCTTGTCTGCAACTTGGAAGCCTCGCCCTCCGCGGTTGAAGGAGTCGGTGGAAGAGGCGTAGTGACCGGCTCCTTGACTTCGGCATGTGCCTGTTCCCCATGTCTGACCGGCATAGGCGAGGTCTGCTGATACGGCGCCACTCTGCTGGCCTTGTCGCCTCCTGGGGAGGCTGCTCCATACGTAGGCATTGCAGGTGGCCCCTCCGGGACACCAGTTGACATCACAGGCTCGGGAGGTGGTGCCGCCTTCTGTCCCGAAGCCATGTCCTGTCCAAGCCCGGGTGGTCCATGCTGGTGGGAGAGTGGTCCCATCATAGGCGCACCTCCTGTCATGTGTGGGGCAGCCGAGCCTGGCCCAGGTGGAGGTATTGCACCACTCTTGTAGAGCCTCAGCAGAGCAATAACCTCCGGGTCCATTTGTGGCGGAACCACTGGTGAGCCAGAGTGACGCTGAACCATCTCCGCCCACTCTGCCTCTCCCTGCGTCGTAGGTTCCATGCTGGCGTCCTCGTTCAGAGAGGTGGCTTCCGCCACCGACTTCGCCAACGTGGTTTTGGCCTCTAGCACCTGTTGTCTTGCCTCTTCGAGGTCCTTGGCGAGCTTCTCCTGGTACTCTGCATGCTTCTGCTTTTCTACCAAGAAGGACGCCATCAACTGCCTCTCGTAGTCCGCGAAGCGGTTGGATTTCTCTTGTTGGTCCCTTGCAATTTTGCCGACCTTCGTTTCGGCCTTGCGTAGGAGATTGACACACTGCTGAACTTTTCGCGAGGCACTTTCCGTAGTCCGCGAAGGCTCCGCATGCCTGTGTTCGCTGACTACCCGGATCGGAGGCTCTGGCTGCCACTTGCGGTCGTAAGTAGGAAAGGGCTTGCCCCGCTCTGTGGCATTCGGAGAGTTGGTAGAGCGCCAGGCACCATGCCAGACATTCCACCCATTTCCGGATCCACGACCTGCCTGCTCGTCGTCTCGGCGATTCTCCCTGTGCTGCCGCCATGGTGCCTCGGTAGGTGGCTTCGCCTTGTTTTTGGGCATGCCCAAACCGGGTGGCGCTGCGTGATGTGCGAGGAGACGTCGTAGCTGAGAGGCCGACGGTCGTCGGCCCTTGCGAATGGCCCTTCTGGCTTTCGCGCGACCTGCTCGCAGTCGCCTATGCCAGGAAGGAGAAGATGGGTGCCGCCCAATGGCTGATGGCAACTACCCGGGAAGACGCGCAATTTGCGCTGGGGCACTTCAAAATTCTGGCTTCTCTGCCAGCGATTTGGGCCCTAAGGGATCAGATTGGAAATTATTTAAGCTTCTATATTACCTGTATCAGGGAAACATGCCATTTGCCATAAATCCCTATTCTGGTGGCTTGGTCCGCGTTAAAAAGCTTAAGTGCTTAAGTGAAGACCATCAGAGACATGCATGGTAGATGAGATGCTCTCCTTGTGCCCTAGATCCCAAACCTCAACACCCTAAACCCGAGGTGAATAATACTCTTGCCTTCGATGCCCCAATTAAAATCTATGTACAACAAAACCTGTGTTCAAAAAGCGGGGGACAGTATTTACAAAGCCCTGAGAACCCAGAGTGCATTCCTTGAGACACAATTAGGGTAGGGGGACCCTTGGGGATATAGACCCTCTCAATAAGGTCCCCTTCCAGAGAGCCCGAAGTATGCTTAAGAAGGGTCCCCTACACCCTAAACCCCTAAACCTCTCAACCCCTAAACCCCTGACGGAAAGTCCCAGGTGCCCTCCACGCCAGCCTTGGGAAGGTTGGATTTCCGGCCGAGCCTGCGAGAAACAAGCTTGTCTTTAAGACTGTAGTAGCCTTTACGCTTTAGGGTTTAGGCTTTGAGGGTAAGGGTTTAGCTTTAAGGTTTCGGGGATTAGGATTTGGGATTTGGAGTTTAGGGTTTAGGGTTTCGCTGAGCGTTTCGGATCCTAACCTTTCGCGGCTCAGGGCTTAGGGCTGCCGCGCTTTAGGGTTTTGGGGCTTAGGGTTTCAGGGTGGCCGTCGGGGCTTGGGGTTAGGAGTTTAGGGCGAAGCGCTCCTTACATTGAGGAGTCCGCAAGTCCTGCCCCCTTGCTGGGAATCTCATGTTACGGATATGATCACCTAAGGACCTAAGGTTCGGCAGCAAGTCTATGCTGAGCTCCCTCACCTTCTGAAACTTACAGGTGGTCTTCTTCCGATGGGATTGGATCCAAGAAAACTCCACATCACAAACACTTCAACATGCGATCAAGAAGCACGCTGTAGCGCAGGGCAACAGCGAAGCCGGCCCAGAAGCAGGTCGTGACTACCATGAGTGGCACGTCACCATGTGCTGTGATTCGCCTGGTCGGGCGTCTGTGCTTAGGGCCAAGAAATGAAGCATGGGGGAGGGAGCAAGGGCCCTACATGCCACCGCAACAAGTCACGCCAAAGCAGAGAAATCTCAAGTTGCCCCAACGGCCCTGCCTCCATGAATAACGCCCCTTGGCAGAATCTCGAATGACTCTGTCCAGGATGTGATACCCAGAAAGGTCTTGCAAATTCCACGCGCACTTGCGCAGCCGTTGGACAATGCAAGTGATGGCCAAGGTACTCGTCAGCAAGCCGACGAGAGTGCCACAAAGCAGTCCGAGATAACTCTTGGTCAAGTTGACCCCGATGCAGCTCCCATAGGAACAGCAACAGCAGACTGCGAAACAGCCCCCGGCCGCCGAACGCGAGCTGTGGGGCGGTAGCTTCTGAATGGCCGAGCGGATCAGCTGCTCATCTTTGTTCATCGGCAGGTCCGGATCTCCGCAGCGAGCATTCTTGGAAGACACCGTGGAGTTACCGAGCAAGTACTCCTCGTCGCTCTTCCGATGCACGATCTGTATCGGTAGTCCGGCGTCTGCGGCCACCTTGATCTCCCAGATGCACCAGAGTCTACTGTACAGACCACGCCCGCTCTGCCGCAGCGCTTCATTCGGCACCACAAGCATGCGCTGGCAAGCCGGACTCTTGATCACCTCCGTAAAGGGGCTCTTGAGAATGTCATTGCCCAGCTGCGCATCGATCTGCGCGGGAGTGCCTTGAAAGTTGGAGAGGAAGCAGATGAATGCCACCTCTGTATCCCAGGTAGAGGCTAGTACATCTTCAAAGAACTCCCGCGTGTTTTCCACCCAGGCGTGGGAAATCATGAGAGTGACTTGCTGTGGAGCATGCTGGTTCAGCATGAGTGCGTAGCCCATCTCAGTGCCAGCAGTGGCGGGCTTCACAAAAGTCTCGACGAAGTGATGCACATCGGCATCGTCAGACCAGCCTGACTCCAGACCTAGTTCATGGTTGGGATAGGATTAAAAATCTACATTTTAGAAATGTAAAATGTTACCTAACTATGACAAAGAGACGACTTGACTTGTAAAGCTCTTCGATCTGCTTCTGGCGGATGCCCCAATACCTGAAAAAGCCCCTCTTGCCCGGGAATGACGGAAATGAGTCCTAGTAACCCCTGTGGGTTCTATGCCAAAACAGCCTAAACCCTCAACCCGAAAACCACTTAACATTCCTTCCACCCTAAACCCTAAACCCTAAATCCGGAAACCACTAAAAAATCCTTCCCAAAAGCAGCCAGATGCTTGGCCGTGACCCAGGTCCCGTCGGGCATGCGCTGAGGCCTGGCCCCACCCCGCTGTGAGGCCCTGAAGGCCCGGGATCCCAGCAGCTTCATCTGCACCCTTTCGTAGTGCTTACCTGGGCTCTTCTGAGGATTTAGGGTTTAGGGTTCAGGGTTTAGGGTTCAGGGTTCAGGGCTGAGGGATTTGGGATTAGGGTTTAGGGTTTCGGGTTGTTAAAGCTGCATAGGACCACAATCAGGGAATTATTTCATGCCCTACAGAACCTGCCGATGATAGCCAAACTTACAGGTCTTCCGAAGCCTTGTACGCAGCCCGTACTTGCATCCCTCAGCCAGAAAGAAACAAGTTGCGTATACATACATACCCAGAAAAACATAAATAGACATGCGAAAGACAGCAAACCCCAAAGCCACGTGGTTGTCAAGATTGTGGTCCCTTTTTGGGAATCCTAGATATGAGGTGCCGTACTATATTAGGGACCCCACAAAAGGTACCATAAATTTGACAACCACCCATGTCAAGTCCAGCGCCCAGCTGCAAGGACCTAGGCCTTTCAGGGGCGCCCAAGAGCAGTTGGAGCCTTCCGAGCTCTCCAGGGAACTCCCGGACTCAGACGCCGTGTCGTAGGAGGAAGGCTCAGGAGCCATGCTAGGCAAGGGACGGCTGTAGGCTCGGAGGATCAGGGGGCTCGGGTTACTTACCTTCGGTTAGTAGGGAATGGTGGAATGGGATACAATTATAACTACTATTACTGCCATTCTTCCATTCCCTATTTTGGGCTGTAGGCTTCAGGGTTTAGGGTAAATTAAGGGGTTTGGGGTTGAGGCTTCAGCCTGCTGAGCCCTGAGCCTTCGGGGACCATGTTCACACATGCCCAAGCGGGTCTTCTTGCCCTTGGTTAGTAGGGAATGGAGGAATGGAGTATAATTATAACTACTATTACTACCATTCTTCCAGTCCCTACTAACCAAAGGTAAGTCTTGCAAAACCTTGGTGGCAAGGCTTCGAAGAATCTAGCGCTCTCTTTAGGTCCATCGCATTACTACACACCATAGATACCAAGCAACAGAACCCTAAACCCTGGAGAACCGTTAAAGAAACCCTTATAACCCCACTTATAACCCCCATGAACCTTCAAGTATACAACACGAAGTGGCTCAAAGGTGTGCGCCGCAGGGGCACCATCAAGGAAAACCTTCAGGAATGATCCTACGGAGTCTGAAGGCAAGGCCCCAGTATGAAAGGTTCGGGATCCTCACTATAAGGATCCCGCAACAGTGCTGCGGAACAGGGACGGCGAATTGCTTCAAACATCAGGTTTGCATGGGGCATAGGAGTTTATTTTGGGGTTGGGGGATTGCTTTTGGAACCACCCCCACCACCCCTGCTACTCCAAGGCCGAGCTCTGCTCCCGCGTGCAGAAAAGGTGCCGAAGCAGTCGAATTCATGCCTTGGCAAATCGAGGTTTATGGTTTTTTTTTAAGAGGTTTAGGGTTTAGGGTTTAGGGTTTAGGGTTTAGGGTTTAGGTGGTTTGGCTAAGGATTGTTCTATTCAGGTCTTTCAGAGGTTCAAAAGGGCTAGAAGGGATTTTGGTGTCTTATGAAGTCTCTGCAGTCCCAGACCCCCGGCAAAATCCAAAAAGTAGATCCCTTAATGGGGGTTCCAAAAAAGTACTATTAGTAGCACAGGGCCCCAAATCAGGGGATCTACTTTCTAGATCCTCCCGGGGGTCTGGGGTGCCGTCAAAGTGAACAACGAAAAATCGCGCAGCTTTCTGAGATCTTCGCGAGTCTGGAGTCGATGGTTTAGACTCTTGCCGGGTTTTGGGGTTAGAGGTTTAATATAAGGGCCTTACTAATTACCTATACTATTTTGGCGGTTCCTTACTATAACTATAGTAGAATGGGCCCCAAAACCCTATTCTAATTATTAAGGCGCCTACATTATAGCATCCTTTTAGATCCCTTATAGTAACCCTTATAGACCCCTTTTTAAAGGACCGCTATTCTAATCATTAAGGCCCCTATATTAGACCCCAACCGGTTGTGGGGTCCAGAGCTTCTGTAGGGTTTGATTGGGGATTTGGAGATCAGCTCTGAGGGCTTCGGGTCCATGGCTTTGAAGAAAGTGTCCTTGACCCTAAACCCTAGACCCAAGAGTAACCCAGGCATAAAAAGGATGCCCTTTTTGGTGTAAAGGGGCTTATAAGGGAACCTGAACCCTAAAAAAGGGAATAAGGGCCTATTCTAGGTCCTAGAACCCTAAACCCTAAACCCTCTGTGCTGTGGTCACTCAAGCGCTGCCGCAGACACGCCATACCCTGCAATGGGAACCGGATCGGATTCTTACTAGCAGGTGCTGCCCTAAACCTCAACCCGACAAGCTGCTACGTCCGAATCCCCTAGACCTATAATCTCTCAACCCGCAACCATTTAGGGTTTAGGGTTTAGGGTTTAGGGTTTAGGGAATCCAAGACATCCAAAAGGCCAAAGCTCTCAACCCGAAACCAGCTGGGTGGCTACACACCCGGCCCTGCAGGTCCATGGCGATAACAGGGATGTCGGCGGCGCAGAGGAGCTCCTCTGGGGAACTCCGCGTGCTGGGGTCTGCGAGGCCTGGAGCCGTACTTTCAGTTTTTAGGGCTTATGGAAATGTAAGTTGCATACTCACAATCTCAACACCAATGTATATGTGCATGTATTATAAATAAATAAATACATATACATATATATATATATATATATACACACATGTGTATATGTATATGTATATATATATATATATACATGTATTATGTGGTTTCCTCACAAAAACCTCCCCACGAAAAAGAAGCTAAACCCAGAAAGGTGCAACTATGACAGACTAAGGTCCCCTAAACCCTAAACCATAAACCCTACAAAAAGGGCTACTGCTCTCCGTTTCTCTCAAACCCCAACCCTGGTCATGAATGCTTCCGGAGTCAATTCAGCCACGACCCTGAGAATACTGCTTCAGAGTGCTATGAAAGTTCTTTAGGTACCATAAGGGTGCGTTGAAGGATTGCTTAAGGGAAGAAGGGTAGTATGCGTGTTCAGGGTTTTTCAATGCAATGGCCGTTTAGAGTCTGAACATGACACGCGATTTCCAAGCGGAGCTGAGCGGATCCTCCAAGTGGTCCGGTGGAAGACCCACCCGACAGCACCTGGGCAACCCCTTCAACACGTATCCTGCAATAAATGCCAACTCATACCAAAACATACCAAAACTGATTCCGTCAACAAAGCATCGACGTTATTCTTGGCAAGGTCTGAGCTTCGGTGCCTTTACGATCCTGAAAAAAGGGGGAGCCCACACCCGCTCTCAATGCCTTGGACTTGCACAAGTCTGCGGTGTACTTATTGGTTTTGCAGCTGTGGTGATAAGTGGCACTCCTTACGTGCAAGGGCTGGTGCGATGTACCTGCCCCGAAATCTGCATTTTCTGATGCACGTTCCTAGATTTGACTTGCCGCCATGTTTGTTGTGCATGCGGTTTGTACTTGCGGCTGGCCTTGTTGCAGTTTTGTGCTACTTATACCCTGACCATGTACTACCATCGTTACGATTGCCTCCACTGTTGATTACAAAGATTGTTGATGTTGGTGGTCCAGAAAAGTCTAGAACTGGAAAGGATTGGATGTAAGCGCTCTCGTGGCATGAAGTGCTAGACGACTTGACACATGAAACTAAACAGAATATCTGGACGCAAAGAGCAAACTAGTGTGCACTTTCAGTGTTGGATTGGCTGTAGTCTTGATCTAGGCACGGAGCCTGCCAGCTCAACTGTCCGTGCTTTGCTTTCCTTTGCAGATTCTCGCGGCTCTCTCTGACAACCACGCCATCTCCACCATAAACCCCCAAACTCCTAAACCCTTACAACCCTAGTTCTACTAACCGCATTAAGCAATCCCAGGAGAATGAATAACAGCAGTCGTTGCAGTAATGGTAACTAACGATGAATGACAACGATCATGACAAGTCCAACCCTAGCAAACGTCACCGGCAATAACAAGAATCAGCACAATAGCATTCATGAGCCCTTGTAGGCATCATGGACAAAATACACAGAATCTGCGACGTGGGTAGCCAGCCGGACAGCGGAAATAAGGACATCCGGAGCAAGGCGGCAGTGCCCTGGCTTTGTCCCACCGCTTAGCCGCAGCTCGAAACTTCCTAGGACGCTATAACATTCCGAGACCGAAGACGCAGGGAACAGACTTCAAGTTACCCACAAAGCCCTCAAACCGGAACCCTCGGATAGAAACTGTTACTGAACCACCCTAGACCCCAAAACCTTGGCCGCTGAATCGCTATGCACTTTGCGAACCTGAAACCCAAATCGCAGGCCGATGCACCAGCTTGACTTCTCCAGGTGCCCACCTGTCGCAAGGCAAGGGTTTAGCATGGTTTAGTGCTCAGGGCTTTGGGTCCCGAAACAACGATCAGGGCTTGGGTTCAGGCTTCAGGGCCCGGAAGGCTTTATTTATGGAGTTGGGGAGGGCTGTGTAGTACGCAGGATACGGGTCATCCTTACGTAACCATCATCATACAGCATTCCCAACACGCTGCCCCACTTGACTTACGGTGCCCCTATGTTTGTCTTGGGCCGAGCTTGGGCATCAGGTGCCTTTCTAGTTTCGGGATTCTGGTGTGATAAGGTTCGTTGCATTCTACTCTACTGCATTACGTGCGGTTTTTTCGAAACCCAATGCTACTCCTAGCGCAAGACCCTTCTGCTCCTCTTCTCACAAGCCGAAGAATTCAAGAATGGCGAATCCGCTCCATTATCATCCACATCATTCGTCATGGCATCAGGTGAGTAGACCTCATGTTCTGCTCCGTTCGCCGCAGCAGCAGCCGAAAGAAACAACAACGGCGCACTCACAACAAGCAAACTAAAAAAACGACGGGCAAGAGCTAATCTCCAACAACAAAGAGCAGCCAACAGCCAAGAGCGAGCAGTCAACAACTGAAATCAAGCAACCAACGGTCAACAACCACAACAACTACG